GCCTCATAGGCAATGCCAATACGGCTCTGGCAACTGAGCGCCGTAAATCTATATTGATTAAAATCGAACCAAAACTTGTAAACATGGCAATTACTGAGCCGGGAGCCCAAGCTAAAGGGTTCCTTTTCGGGGAGTCTTTTGTCAAAGACCTGGGCTCCTATGTCCAGACATTCACAGCCTTGGACAAGGCACAATCTAATTTAAAGAGGGTGTTCCACCCAAAGGTTTTTGGTGGGGCCGGCAGAGCAAGGGGCCGTCTGTCCGGCAGAGCCAATAGAGGTTCGCGCCAGAACCAAGGTCCCTATATGGGGAGACCCCCCTTTACCGACTAGAGGTCCGTCCCGACCTTCTTCCCTCAACGAGGTAGACCTTGGGTGTCGAGAGGTGCACGAGGCACTCCTTCCGGAAGACGTCCTTACGGTAAGTTACCTTTCTCAATTTTCTTCACAAGTGGCAATAGGGGGCAGACTCTTGCATTTTTCCCATGTCTGGGCTCTAATTACATCAGATGCTTGGATTCTCAGGGCAGTCCAAGGATACCCAATAGACTTTGTATCTCTGCCCACTCAACTCTCCCAACCAAGGGAGCTTGTTTTTTCCCCAACAGACACGACCCTCGTTTCCGAGGAAGTTCAAGATTTAGCACTCAAAGGGGCTATTCAAGAAATCCCGATAGATACCCCGGGTTTTGTGAGCAATCTATTTATTGTCCCCAAAAAAGGGGGCGGATCCCGCCCAGTTATCAACCTCAAACACTTAAACACCTACGTAACCTACCATCATTTCAAGATGGAAGGCATTCACTGCCTACGGGATTTACTCCAGCCAGGGGACTGGATGGTCAAACTCGACCTGAGAGACGCCTACCTCGCGGTACCCGTTGCGCAGGTGCACCAAAACTTCCTGCAATTCACATGGCAAGGGAGGAAATGGTGATTCCGCTGCCTTCCCTTCGGGCTCTCCTCCGCACCTTGGTGTTTCACCAAGCTCATGAAGCCCGTCATCGCTCTCTTACGCAGTCGGGGAGTTCGTCTAATCATATACTTAGACGACATCCTGCTACTATCCCAATCAATATCATTACTTCATATTCACCTCGGTTGGACCACAACCTTGCTACAGAACTTGGGCTTCATTATAAATTGGGAAAAATCCATTCTAATCCCCACTCAACAAATAGAGTTCCTAGGACTCTTGGTGGATTCAGACACGCAAACCCTGTATTTACCAACATCCAAAATGAGAAGTATCAAGAAAGAGATAAGACGAGTTCTTACCTCTCCACACATATCTCTCAGACATCTGGCCCGCGTGATCGGGCTCCTAGCGGCCTCCATACAGGCCGTCTTTCCGGGTCCCCTTCATTACAGAGCCCTCCAACGCCTGCAGGCGTCGTACCTCAGAGGCGGCGCCTCATACGAGGACACTCTGACTCTGGACACGGATGTGAAAAAAGAACTCCAATGGTGGCTCCTACACATGGAAGCATGGAATGGCAGAGCCATCTTCGGCTCAGCCCCAGACGTAGTCATAGAGTCAGACGCCAGCTCGTACGGTTGGGGTGCGCGCTGTGGAGATATCGTCACGGGGGGACGATGGTCGGAAGCAGAATCCATGCTACATATAAACTGCCTGGAACTCCTAGCGGGGTCCTTTGCGGTTCGCAGCCTTTCCCCGACACTGTCCCAGTGTTCGATCCTACTGAAGATGGACAACGTATCGGCTGTCCGTTATATCAACCACCTTGGTGGTACGAGATCCAAAATTTTAGCGAATCTGGCTCGAGACTTTTGGCAGTTTTGCCTGCACCACAACATGGCTGTCAGGGCGGAGTATTTACCGGGTTTGTCCAACACCACGGCGGATTGGTACTCCCGTCACCTGCGGGACGCCAGCGACTGGCACCTCGATTCCCGAGTCTTCCAGCGCATTGGGGACCTGTGGGGTCCTCTGGCGGTAGACTTATTTGCCTCCCGCTTGAATACCCAACTTCCGACCTTTTTCAGTTGGAGGCCAGATCCTGCGGCTTCAGCCATGGATGCATTTTCCCAAGACTGGTCAACCACCAGGAACTATGCGTTTCCTCCATTCGCCCTTATCCCGCGTTGCCTCCTCCACCTGCGACGCCAATGGGGCTGCCTAGTTATAATAACCCCCCTCTGGCCATCGCAACCTTGGTTTCCTCCTCTGCTGGAGATGGCCATAGATCACCCACGGCTCCTCCCGGATGCCCAATCTCTCCTACGGGACCCCGATGGGACCCTCACCCCCTGATCCTTCAGGGCCTCCTCCGCCTCATGGCATGGTTGATCTCCGGGGACCCTGGTCAATCGCAGGAGTTTCGCAATCGACTCTCCGACTTCTCGAGGGCGCATGGGCACCCGGCACGAGACAGTCTTACAAGTCTGCTTGGCGCACATGGGATGGTTGGTGCATGGCATGGGGTGTGGATCCCCTATCAACTACTGTGACGAACGTCCTACAGTTCTTAACCTCCCTGTATGAGACGGGGAAAGCTTACAGGACGATAAACCTCTACCGGTCAGCTATCTCAGCCGGCCATACCGGCATCGAGGGGACCCCGTTAGGACGACATCCACTGGTTTGTCGTCTTCTCCGAGGCATTCGCTTTGCGAGGCCGCCCCTACCTCGCTATTCCTCCCTATGGGATGTCTCCCTGGTATTGCAATTCCTGA